CCAGGCAGTGAGCATATGGAACAAATTGATTTTGCTGAAGGGACAAGAAAAACTAAATTATTTGGGTGCTTTGATCCTGGACAAGATGCTGAATCTTATGATGTTGGTTTAGATTTAGGTATTTCTAGAAAACACATAGAGCAAGAAGAAACATCCAAGTGGGGAGAGTTGGATGATGAACAATATAGGCTGATAGTAAAGCAACTAAATGAGCAACAGAAAACCATTTTTTTTTTCATGTTTTACATTGGGTCAAAACAAAAGATGAACCACTTCATGTATTTCTTACTGGAGGTGCTGGTGTTGGCAAAAGTGTGGTGACAAAAGCCATTTATCAGGGTGTCATGAAGTTTTATGCACACCAACTGCATGTGAATCCAGACAATGTCCATGTTCTGGTATGTGCCCCAACAGGCAAAGCAGCACACAATATTAAAGGCTGTACAATACATTCAGCATTTTGTTTACCTGTCGGTCAAGGATTTAAGTACAAGCCACTGGATATGCAGCAACTTAACTGTATGCGAACTAAGTTTTCAGATTTGAAATTATTGATCATTGACGAAATTTCAATGGTTGGGAGAGGCATGTTTGATTTCATAAATATTAGGCTGCAGGAGATCAAAGGTTGCAAAAGGCCATTTGGAGGTATAAGTGTGATTGCTGTTGGTGACCTATTTCAGCTGAAGCCTGTTATGGACAATTGGATTTTTCTTCAACCATGCAGTGAGTATGGTCCAATTGCTGCAAATTTATGGCAAGATCATTTCAAAATATTTGAATTGACAGAAGTGATGAGGCAGAAGGATGACAGAGATTTTGCTCATTTGCTTAACAGATTGAGGGAGGGAACTCAGACAGAAAATGATATTGCTGTTTTGCAAGACTGTGTGGTGCAACAAAATGATATGCCAGCAATAACACATTTGCCACATCTTTTCACTACCAGAAAAGAAGTTGAGGAATACAATGGGCAAATTTTCATGACTGCTGATAGCAATTTCAAAATTTCTGTTACAGCAATTGACTGGGTAATGGGAACTGTTGATGAAAGTGTCCAAGAAAAGGTGCTGTCTCGTGTACCAAAAGATAGCTCAAAGACTGTGGGTTTATCATATGAGTTGAAATTAGTAATAGGTATTCCAGCTGAAATTACAAATAATGTCAATGTAAGAGATGGCGTGACAAATGGATCAGCTTGTATAATAAAAAAGTTTGATTACAGGGTACATGGTTCTGACAGAGTAAGCATTATTTGGGTTCAATTTGAGGAGTCTTCTATTGGGCAAGAGTTGAGAACTGAACTTTCACATTTATATGCAGAAGGAATTCACAAAGAATGGACTCCAATTTTGGAGATAACACGTATGTTTTCAGTTAGAATGAACAGCGCTTTTCAGGTCAAAAGAAGACAATTCCCATTGCAATTAGCAGCAGCTAAAACAATCCATAAGGCTCAAGGGTCCACTTTGAATAGTGCAGTTGTACACTTCGGTTCAAGGAAAAATGACCACATACATTATGTGGGCCTAAGCCGCGTTACCCATATTAAAAGTCTGCACATTTTGCAATTAAATGAGGGGAAAATATCAGTGTCCTCACGTGTCATAGAAGAAATGGAAAGACTTCGTTTTAATGCTAGTTTAAAGCTGTGCTTAGATAGTCTTCATTCACATCCATTGACAGCACTCAAAATTGTATTTTTCAACATCAGATCACTTCATAAACACATAGCTGATTTACAGACTGACTTCAGTCTCCTGTCTTCTGATATAATAGGAGTCTCTGAAACAAGATTATTACGAAGTGATAATGACTCTTTGTACCAATTGCCTGGATTTTCTTTGTACCGGTTTGATTTTGAAAACGAAACTCCTGGCAGACCTTCCTATGGACTTGCTTTATATATAAGAGACAGTGTTACATTCAGAAAAATGAACAAGAAATATATCGATAAGATTCAGTGTTTTTCTATTGAGGTTGCCTGTACAACACAGTGGATAACAGTAACATTGATATACTTACCTCCTAAGCTTACACTGAGTCAGGCTACAGAAGTGTTGCGAAAAGCACTTGAGGGAAGCTCTGGGCCATATTTGCTTGCTGGGGATACAAATTTTGATTGCCAATTTGCTCAGGGCTTGCAAAAATTTATTCTTGAAGAATTTGGGTTGCAGTACTTGGAAACCAACAGTACTACTGATTACAAAACAATTATTGACCAAGCTTTTACAAATCTTCTCCAAGAAGAGATTTATAGCTGGGGAACATTAGAGTCTTATTATTCAGATCACAAGCCACTCTTTGTTTCTTTAAAATAATAATTAATTGTTGAAGTTCATTTCTTTTTTTCAAATCATCTAGTGGTTGCAACTGTTAAAGTTATTTTGAGAAATTATATACTGTGAGTCCAGTTTGCACTAACATTCAATTTTTCTGGCGGTAACCTGATGTAAGCAGTCACTTCATGCCATATCTGACAAAATTCCTTCTTATACTAAACTTTACTAAACAGTCACTTGTTTTTTGCTATTTATGGCCTCAGTTTCAAAATCTCTATCTATTTTGTCCATTTTAAACGGTCACTATTGTTTGAATAAAAAGATTAATATAACACTTGCAGCAAAATGAATTAACAAATCGTTGATACCTGAAACTCATTCTTAACAAGTTTCTGATCTAGTCCCGAAACACTGTAACAGGCAAAGTTCATTATAGCTTCATCATGAACAAGAACCGTTTGACTTGATCAAAGCTCAATTTCATACCGCAAAGTAAGATGTGACAGTGGGCTTGACATGTTCCGGTCTGGCATCTAGTTGTATTTATTGCTTGTTTTCCCATTGTGTACATAATGAACATTTCATTATATAGTTGTGATGATTATCATGATAGTGACAATGTAACAGTATCGATAATGGTGAGAGTAACTTGTGCATAGTGATGTTGACAACAACAGTGATACTGATAATGATTTCTTTTGCAATCATGTAGATTTCATTTGCCTTGGTACATTTGTATATAATTGATTTATGTAGTGATTAGTATGATGATTTGTAATTTTTATTGTACATAATTATTATACATGTAAATAGATGTACTTTTTATTTGTGTGTCTTCTAATCCAGTTCTTCTCTGGGGTGGGTTCGATCTTTGGAGATGCTTTGGTAGTTTAGTACAGAGGAAGGTTACATACAAGTCTAGTACTGGTGTAACTCTCCAGGAACGATGGTAAGGAAACTACCTGCCTATCTGACTGAATTAGTGAAAAAAGGCGTAATATGAAACAAACAAGACATTTGTGTACATATTTTTGATGTTATAATTCTAGTTGTGGATGATGGAGATGATGTTGATGTCCGATGTAATGATGGTTAACTAATTTGTAGATATTGCTGACTTTTGGATCCTTAGGCACATATCTGACATTTAATTTTTGTCTAGAAAATTATGATAGTGATGCTTTTGATATTGATGATAATAATGTTGATGAATTCAGTCATTATGATGATGATGATATTGGTGATGAAGATAATGATGATTTGTTATAAATATTTTAGATGTTGGTACTACTTCTCCATTTGCATTCATATTGTAGATGTTCATTATTCTACTTGATGATGAGGAACATGATGATGATGACAACTAACATTTGTAGAATTTATTATTATATTGATGGTTTATGTACATATTGTTGATGTCATTGTTCTAGTTGATGATGATGGTTTTAATGATGATATTGATGACAGCACTTATGATGATATAATGTTGATAAAAACCAATGATGAATTTGATTTCGATGGTGATGATGATTATTATGATATGTCTGCGTGCATGTTGTACATTTCAATTTAATTATATTGTTGGTAATTATGATGCTACCATTGTAACAGTTTTGTTGACTTTCTTTACATACAGTATTTGCATCTCTTTTCATCATGTTTAATGGAACTGTGATAAATTATTTGGTAATATTAATGATCATGAAAATGGTTAGTAAGCTGCTACTGCGAATAATTATGAGTTTTCTACAAACTGTTGCATTAGTATTTTTGCATGTTTATTATTAGTCTTCATGTAAAAAAAATTATGGTCATTGACATTCAGATTTGTCGATCAAAATATCCTTGCCCAAAACAATTTTAACAAGCCTGGAAAAATCCAGCAAAAGTTGTGGCTAGGTTTTCCGCATCTACTTTAAACTGGAGAAAATAATAATAAGTGATACCACTTGTTTAACACTTATTTCTGATCTTCTTAGACATGGTATACAGTAGTCTGAAACTCACGGGTCAGATGATTTCATTTAGCTTTCTCAGACAAAACAATCAATGTGCATATCCCTCTTGGTCATTATAAATACAGCAGGTTTAAAGGGAGTCCACTGAGATTTTTTGACATGATGGTACTGGAAATATTTCTTTTCAGATACACATACCATTTTATGTAGGTTTAGATAACTTATCTTTGTGCAAAATTTCAGATTATTCCCGCGCTTCATTTCTGCAGAATAAGTATTCAAATTGTAAAAAATGACCTAAAATGAAAAGCGTTTAAACGCCTCTCACTCAAATTGGCTAAGAAAAACATAAAAATACGATTTCTATTTATTTCAAAGTATTTTTCTTATCTAACTGCATATGTTTCTGTTTGAAGTGCCCCAACTCATTGTTATGATTTAGGCTTTCAAACCTCAGTGGAGTCTCTTTAACTGATTGTATACATTACATAACTTTTTTCAGAAAAATTTATCCCAATACCTTAAAAAAATGTTTCCCTCATTTTTCCCCATACCTTAAAACATTGCTAGACTGTCAAACTATGCCCGCTACATTTTATGCGAACAGAATTTTACTAGAGTTGGGCTGGGACTTTGCTTTACTTTTGCAGACTAAAGACTATTTCAAATTCAGCCTGCCTCTATTTAGGGATTTTGATTGCTTATGATTTGTATGTTGTCATTTCCTGTAAAGTAATGAAAGATTTTCGTTTTGTTACAGATGATGTCTTTGTCCAAACTCATCGCTGCCAAAACAGCAAAACCCTACAGTCAACCAGTAAAGGTTACTGTAGTTGAGGTCGGAAGGTCAAGCAGTTACAAGACTGATAAGGGAGAAGACAAACATATTACAGTGGTGGGTGCATGTGATCGTGAGCATGCAATAAAATTGAATGTATATGATCCTGCAAAAGTTGCCCTAATGAAGGAGGGAGGGTGTGTAATGTTAATGAATTACATATTTAAGCAGGAACCGGACAGGGCAATTGTCATCACGAACAAATGGAAAGTGATGCAAACATCACCCATGCTTGACTTGAATGAAGATATCAGGCAAAAGGCAAGGGAATTGGCAAACCCTGCACCTGCAAGACTGGTAGGCTGCAAGTCAGCGAAACTGTCACCTATAAAATCCCTTGTGTCTGTTCAAGGAAAGGTCATATCTGTAAGTTTTATATATAATTTGTTATTCTTACTTGCAATAATAGCATAAGCATTCCTTATATATTTATAGATATAATATGAATGACTTTATTGAAATTTATAAACATCCTTTCATACTAACATCAAATTAAAGGAGTGCTTTGAGTGTTCCATTAGTAAACGAGCAATGGGGGTTCAAAACCCAGTCCAAACATTAAATTACTTCCTTAATCAAGAAACATTCTTACTACTCATTACTTCTTGGTTCTAGTAACCGACTCTAGTGAATTCATGTAAAAGCAGTGTAGCTGCCTTCACAATCAAGCTTTGATAAATACATATTAACCAAAGGCATCAAATATCAATTCATAATAATATATAATGAAATATTCTGGCTAGAGTAATAACTCCTACATTTTCTTGTTTACTTTCAATCTCGCTTTCATAGAATTATATTTAAATTAGAACTAACAGTTTGTTAAAGAATAACATAAATGTCTAGATTCCAAAATTCCTGAATTCTTAATAAACTAAAACATATAAGGCAATTATTTGTAATATGAGTGGCAGTTTATTTCTGAAACTCTTTTCAAAAAAGTTTGTAAATGATTTCTGTGTATTTAAATATACAATAACTTTGCCACTTCTTGTAGTTTCTGGCCCTCTCAGTATTTTTTAAACTATGTTGAAAATTGTTCACATTGGTAAATAAAATGACATTGAAAGATTGTGCTTAGTATATTAGTCTCATTTCGAATGGACATACCAAATACTGCCTTATTGGTATGCATTTTATGTTATTACCTGTAATTAGAAGACTGTTGCTTATGGTAATTTCAACCGCTACAGTTGTGCAATATCATATATAATGCATATACTGTTGGAGTACATTGAATCTGTAAGGGTTGCTTATGCTCTTAAGGTAATATTTTTTCTTAAAAGAAATATATGGGATTATTTAAAGGATACCTTTACACACAATAAATTTTGACAAGATAATATTCTTTTTTAAAAGGGCCAGCAGCTTCAACTGATTGTAAAGTTTCATCTTGGTAAAAAAAGCACTTTGATTGTACAGTCAGTAGAAGAACTTTAAACTTTAATTTGATATGTTATATACTCTGTACAGGAGGAGGCAGTCAGAACAGTGAAGGTGAGAGGTGCTGATGTTCAGGTAAAGAACATCAACATTCAGGACTCAACTGACACACTGAAAGTGGCGCTCTGGAGGGACCTTACCGATTCCTCGCTAGTTGGCCAGTATGTCAAGTTACAGAACGTTGTGGTCACCTCATACAAAGATGAGGTTTCCGTCTCTTCAACAGCAAGGACACAAATTGAGGTACTTACAGTTTCCTTTTTTATATAAAGTAAAACTATTAATTACATTTGTATTTAATTCTTACCATTTCGACAGTGTTAGACATTCGGATTTGAATACACTAGGCTGGTCAGACCACCAGAGTTGGAATATTCACTAGCCCAAAAGACATTTCACTAGCACGATTTCATTTGTTCAAGACAGTTGTTTATATTGCCTCTGAAAATACAGTACCCTGGTCTGGATTGTTACTGTGAAAAGTTGGTAGCCCGAGGAGTAATTTAGTAGTCTGGGGGCTATAGGACTACTGCTAATTTCGAACACTGTTTTGAGCTTTTGGGGATTTATAAACAACTTTAATATTTGTAATGTTATGATATGGTGACACCAGCTTACAAAAGTATTTAATCATTCAATATGACAGCTCTAGTTGCCATTAATGTATTAACAAGATGTTTTTTGCTTAAATCCAGTGGGATTTCTTACATTAATGCTTTTGCCAAGAAACATACATAATTACAGGGCTCTTTGTCCTTGTTATCCGGTATAATGGGTACTTGATAAATGATTTAGTTTATACAGATTTATTTCAGTTTGATGATTGTGTTGGAAGCTATAAGCTTATTGAAACACTCTGGATAAATGATTTGACAGCTGATGCTTCTTAATTCATTGAAAATATACTCTTAAAAAAAGATTCCAAACACATCAATTTCATCCCATTATGATAGTGAATACTAGAAAATACCCTGTTAATTTATTATTTTTAATTTCAGGACTGCCAAGAACCTGCCTCTACCATAGATGGAACGGTGGTGGCATTTGAGGAAGGAGACTTAACTTTCTCCCTCATGGTAGAATGTGGAGAGAACTTCTCTACATACGACGTCCCTGCAGAAATGGTTTCAAGCGCTTAGATGAGGGTAACGCTGGCAGAAAAGATTCCTGCTGAGGCACAGTTTAAAATTGAGAAGGGAACAGTTGTTTCATTCAAATTTCTGTAAAATTGTGTTTGTCAAAAACAACAAAGGCTGTCCAGCTAGAGGGGATACAGATTTGATGGGCATGTGCAGTAGGCCATTTTATGCTCATTGAAATTTTGTGCAGCTAAATATACCTTATGTGCCAAAACCACACAATAACTGCCATATTAGTATTTACTTTTATTACATAAATCTGTCTTGTTGTTCACTTTTCTTCATGTAAAAATGAATCTAGTCATTGATTAGTGTTTTTTTTTGTTGTTTTTTTTTGTAGTTCTGTTTTTTTAGTTTCATTTTGTGTATATGTGTTTATTTTAAAGAACATCACTATGTTGCTCTATTTTGAATAATTTCTCCTTTTTGTTCAATACATTTCACAATGGAGGCAGAACTTCAGAGTTCTTTTCCCTGTTCAAACAATGAAAATATTTGATGTTTCTTTTACCAAATTTTTATAGGCAACTATTCCTTATAATGTGTTTCATTGACTATTCTTATATGGAAATGCTCGTGTTCTAGTATTTTTTGCTTACTTAAATTATCTTTTATAATTGTTGTGTATTGATGTTTCCTCCAATTTTTATCACGTCAAAAAAGCTGTAATAATAATATTAACACAATTTGAACATTGCTTTGATTGTATTCTCTACAATTTTAACAGCTGGCACGTCAAAAAAGTTTTTAAAATACCTGTCTTGGACTCATAATTATACCCCTTTATTTCACTGGGAAACACAACAACATAAAATCATATAATATGCATATAAGTATAATTACAACGATCTAGTCAGTATTATGCCACATATTTTGTGTACATCTTCATTTTTTAACAAAAATGTGCTTTTTTCTTCTTGCTTTGTTTTATAATCATCTTTAAAAATGTTTTCCTACACTTCTTGTTCAATGTTGTAAATATGTATATATGAGTATGTGTCTCCTGCAGGTACGGTTGGATATCATTAAGTAAAATATAAAACGATACAATACTAGTATTTTGAAATTATGGTATTTTAACAGTTACGCTTCATATTTCTTTTTCTCCATATAACAGATGACGCACTAAGACCAGCTTACTTGCATTTAATTACAATAAATGTCATGATAGCGTTAACCTTGAAAAAGCTTCCATTTAATGGAAGATCATATTTAACTTAATATTAATAAAATCAATGGAAAACAAAGTTGGCTGTCATGTGAGAGCAAATAAATGGGTTTTTCAAATTTTTCCTTCAAAAACTGAGAAACAGAAAAAACATATTAAATATGAGCACAAAACTATAGTGATACTTTTTTTAGAATGGTAAAGTGCCATTAGTTTTGATATGGTTTCAGTATCCAACCCTACCTGTGATAGATACACAGTTGTCAGTTCATTAATTTGTGATATGTGCATTTTTTGTCACCTGCCACAAGGTGGGCTTTTGTGATCTCTTTCTGTCCAACTGTTGTCCGTCCGTAAAACTTTTACTTTAAGTAACAATCTCCCCGTCACTGATAAGCCAGTTTTCATCAAAAACTTGGGCATGGAACATCTTTATATGAGTGTCAATCAAGTTTTATCATAAAAAAGCCCTTTGGTAGAAATTGTCCCCAACCCAAGGGGTAATTAACTTCCCTTATGTATATAGTAAGAACTTTTAGAAAAATACCTTTATCAGCTAGAGCATAGAAATAAAGTATGAAACATCTCATAGTAAGGCCATCCTTAAAAAAATGTTTGTTTGCAGTAACCCGACCCAGATTTTTCAAGGTGGGTAGGTAGGTGGATTTTTTTATTTTTTTTATTGAACTGTACTCCCAAATAAACATGGAATTTCAAAATGCTTGACAATATATGCTTTGATAATCTGGTAACAATTAATAAATTGATAACTGAATTCTAATATCATAAGACCTACATTTTATTTCTTCTATAAACCTTTAAAAGAACGAAAACAAAGCACAAGGCATAATTTTCTGATTCAAAAAAGATTTTTTTTTATCCAGACCATGAAAAAAATTTTGAGTAGGGGCAAAATTTGTGAGTCGGTCGCGTTACTGCAAACAAACATTTTTTTAGAGATGGCCTAAGTATCTACCAAATTTGTTCAACTAAAACTCATGGCGTCAAAATTGGCCCTGCCCTAGGAGGTCAATGATTTCCTTTCCTAATATTACAACATTACTTGTTCCTTGTTATGGAAATTTTTTATATTAAGGTGAGCGATTTCATGGTCCTCTTGTTTCTTCATCTTTTCTGTCCATAATTTGCCAAACTATTGTTTATAATAATGGTCTTTCATATATGTCATCATAAATACATGAATTGAACACAAGCTAGAATATTTTCATCATGCTTCTTAACTGACATAAGTTTAAAGTTTTAAATTTTTTTCAACTTAAAACTTCTTTAAACACTTACATTACTGCTTTTTTATCAAATATACCTCACGGTCTTAAACTCTTTTGCATTAAATCTATTTGATCATAGTGTCACCATTTTAGTGTTTAAATATTGAATTTTGCATCAGCCAGTGCTAGGGGGCGTGGGCAGTAACTTTCACTTTCTAGTACCGTCCATGAACAGGCCTAATCAAATCAAGCCAGAAACAGTTTTCAATACTGTTGTGAGGATTCTGTTTTTTCTCTACTTTTTAATTTTACCAACAAGTGTTCACTTTCAAACTTGTGATCATAGTATTTTTTGTACTACCTTTTTGTATAATGTTGTATTTTATTTATGTTCTCATGCTAAGATTAACCTTGGCTAACTCATGACAAGTGCAAACATATTCAACTTTTTTATGTTTTCTTTCTTTTTTTTGCCTATTTTTTGCCAACATTATTTACTTTTTTTTAAACATTGTTCCTCTGAATCATACATTCTGTTATAGTTAAACATGCAGTTCTTGTTAGTTATTTTGCCGAACTTCATATTAGATTGATCACAGTTTCATGTGATGGCTCATATAACAATCTCATTTCTTTGTACTTTATCTAGTAAAATATGAAAACAGAAATGCTCTTGTATGCTCTACTGTTTTAAGTTTATATGCCCATGCCATTTAAATAATGGTGCCAGGACATTAAGTGTTACCCCGTCTGTCGTCCAGTCAGTACGTTCAACTAACATTAGTTTCCAACCAATAAGATTTGTACACCTTTTAAGGATTCAATTTATAATTGGTATATTCAACAATATATCAAAACACAGGTCAAGTTTTGATTTCAGTTACATTCAACAAAATTTATACAACATTATGCCTTCCTTACCAAATTATATGCAAAAAATTGATTTATAACTGATAATATTTGAATGCTTTAGAAATCTATGAAGATATTTCATATAACTCTGGACATAATTTAACAGTCTTCATAGTGAGGTGGAATGTAGTGTTGAAAAATCAGGATCAAGGTCACTACTTTGGGTCAAAGGTCAAATAACAAATTAAAACATGAGAGTATATTTCTATATACAATGTACATGACTGGATTTTGATAGCATTTATCACAACTGTTTACCTATGTATACATCTTTCTCCCTAATCTGAAGCTTTAAGGTCCTGTTCTGATTAAAAGCAACAGGCTCGATTTGCTGCCAAATAACTTATCTAGTTATATACATATTTTGATTACCCACTCAATATAAGCATTGTTCATTGCGTGGCATCCATGTCCTATGGGCACATTTCTAGTTTTTACTAAATTTTGTTGTATTATGTCAGTCTTGTATGTAAATTCTTAAAACAGCACCACCTATACCACTGGCCGTTTGCATTAAAGCCTCTATCATTCTGATTGTTATAACTTGTGTTACCTGAATATGTACCAATAATTTAAAGGAACTCCATTGAGGTTATAAAGCCTAAAACATAACATTTGAATTTCTACATAAAAGAGCTGGGGCACTTGATACAGAAATATATGCACAGATAGTTAAGAAAATATACTTTGAAATAAATTGGAAATCGTATTTTTATGCTTTTCTCAGCCTGATCTGCGTGAAATGTGTTCAAAACGTTTTCATTTTGGGTCATTTTTTACAATTTGAATAATTATTCTTGAAAAATGAAGTGTGCACTAATCAAAACACATCAAATGGTACATTAATCTAGAAAAAATAAATTTCAGTCCATCATGTCAAAAACCTCAGTGGAGTTCCTTTTACACAGTTTATGAAGACTGACAAACTAAATTCCATGATCTCCATATATTTAAGCATTTATTTTTATATAACATATATTTTTACTTTTATGGCAAGTTTTAACATTAAAAGTTTATTATAGATCATTGTTCTTTGTTTTTACTTTCACTTTAAAGCAGCACGCCTCCAGGTGAGCAAAATTTTTTCAATAAAATCACAAACCTGCGAAAAAAGTACTAACATATTAGGAAAAGTATGAAAAATTCAAAGTTCTTGTGATAATTTACATGTTTATTGTGCTATTAGTGACCCCCTATTAGGAAAAGTATCAAATTCAAAGTTCTAGTAATAATTTACATGTTATTGCGCTATTAGTGACCGCTTTTTCAGTATTTATAACAATATTTCTACAGCTTTACTAACGCAGTAAGGGCTATTTTTGCATATTTTTACCTATGTTTAGTAATTTTCATGGGTTGTAAGTGCCATTGATAATGTGTAAAATGCTTCCTTTTGGTTATTTTTACTAAATAATACTTTTAAACACATTTTCAAAATTTTCATGGCAATCAGCATGAATTTGGCGGGCGTGCTGCTTTAAGAGCATGTACATAAATTTCATACTAAAACACAATTAGTCATGTTTGAACTTAACCATGTAAGCACATGATGAGCTTTCGGTCCTTGAGTTTAAAATAAACAGTCTCTTCATTAACTATTATTAAATAATGCTGTACATTTTGTCTATGGCATGGTCTTGAGGTCCTATCAAATCAGCTAGCTTTAAAAATGAAAGTAGGATTGAAGCTCGA